CCCTCAGCGAGAGCCGCGGGGGACGCCGCGGGGAAGGTAATGCCCTGCCCGGGGCTGCGTTCGCTCGGAGCCGGGTTGTGCTGAGGTGTCAGGCGGAACAAACTCCAGATCTCCGACCTCCGCAGGAAGGGCTTGATGTGCCTTAACACCGGGGCTGCTCCCTCTTCAGCACCCGGCTGGGGCGGGCGGTGCACGGGGGATACCCGGGAGCCGTCGCTTGGAAGGAAAGGGGGTTTCTCCAGTGTAAAGAGGTTTAAACGGCTTGTTAAAGTTGGGTAGATCCGTGTTTAGATAGTTTTTAGATAGAACGTGTTTGTTTCTGCCATGTAAAATGTTTGGGTAAGCGCTCAAGAGAACTCGTGAAGAGCTGTGGGGCTTCAGATGTGTCAGTAAAATAAAGGGAGTTTTGGGTGTTGTTCGTAGTCTAAAAGAGAATTCAGATGGGGGTGGCTTGCTTCTGAATAGAGTGCATGGGTAGAACAGCTGAATTTTGTCACCTGAATAACACTAAAAGTGATAATGGGTTCGTACAGCTTCAGTTAAAATTCATGCAAGCATTAAGGTGTTCAGCTGAATGTTGGTATTTTTAGGTCTCGCACTAAAAATGTGATAAATCCCTTGACTTGGTTTTGATGGAAAATTAAGGTTTATAATCCTGGTCCTAAGCAAAAATGCCACCCATTAAAAGATCACTGTGCCCTAAGGAAGTAAAAACTTACTCTTGGAGCTTGAACTACATGTTCTGAAACTGAAGATTAAAATGCAGTTTTGAGCTGTGTTTTGAAACATACTCAGCAGTTGACCCCGGGGCTGCATCAGCAGTTCAGCAGCTTTCCAGCGCTGCCTCTCTGGAGTACAGGATCTGCTGCGCCCGGTCTCTGCAGGGACTCTGAATCCCTCAACGTGGTGACCTTGATGCTATCACTGAACTGCGATTTCTTAAGAGACACTGTGATTAATGTGACAAGTCTTTCAGCTCTCAAAGGCAGATCCAGAAACGTTAATTTCCAAGTGTTAGGAAGTTAAAGCTTAGGTACCACGATGCGTGCTTTATCCCGGTGGATTTCTGGGCTTAGTTATTTGGAAGGGTTTTTACTTCTCAGGAACTTCATTTCTGCTGGATTTGTTTGGGGTTTTTATTCCCTGTCTCTCGTAGAAACCTGATTTTACGGTGTTTTATTAATTCCTAAGAACTGAAAGGGGAATCTACAAATCAGAGGAAGCAGTTATTTCTTTGTGGCTTGAATCCATGATATGTTGGATCTTAGTAATAAACCCCCTTTTTTGCAACAGCCATTGTAGCACGGGAAGCAGTGAACAGCTGCTGGCTTAACTGAACCACTGCTGACTGCTTCTCTCAATTCCCTGCTGAGACCTCATGTCATGGGAGAGATTTTAACATCTTAATTTTAGAAGGAGTTTATGCTGCTTTTACCAGGCTAAGCTGCAGAAACAGTTATTAAATTTGATTTCTTCCTAGATCCCTGTTGGGTTTTGTGGGTTTGAGTAGTAAAACGTGCAGCTGTGCAAAATACCTGATCATGGGATGTTAAGGTCAAAGAGTTTATAGAGAAAACAGCTGTATAGGGTAGTGCACCAGTATTTGATACTGTGCTCTACACAGATACAATAAACTTCACCAGTTATCACAATGTTTCACTTCAATGACTGTGTTGTTGCTGTTTATCTTTGATAATAATTTGGGTAACTCTACCTGAGACTAACAATTCACTGTTATTTACATAACAAGTTTGTATTTGATTGCATCTCTGATAACTAGGTATTACTTTATTATAAACCTTTCTGCTTATGTGAGCTTAGTTCAAGCTGCTTTGCATGGTTCTTCTGACCTTGCACACTTGAAGGCTGTGTACTCCTGATTATTTTGTTATTTAACAACTTTCAGTAACTTTTTTTAACGGAGCATCTAAATTTGATACATTCCTTACTATAAAAGGATATTAATGTCTTTTCCTAAAGTTTTGAGATGTTATTTTACTATTAACAATTGTTTTGCTTGCAGCCACACTGAGAAGTGTTGGAAAGAATACTGAAATTCTCACTTTAGACCAGATGGAAGGGTATACTCTTTATTTTTTAGCCCAGTGATAGGCATGTAAAGTTTATTATGAAGAACACTTCAGTTATTTGGTGTGGTTTTGTAAAAGCAAAGAGTGAAATTCTTGGAAGCAAAGCTTTCAGTGATTCTTTATGATGGGAGATACTGAGGCACAACAGCTGTAATGTAGGGTCAAAAGAAAGTAGTTGGGGGGAGGTGGGGGACTTTAAGTCTAAGCCCTCCTGATGTGGTGGTTGGTGTTACACGTGCTGGCTTGCACATGTTGTCATCTGCTTTCTGGGAGCTCATCACCAGGGAGGAGGCTGCAGGCTGGGTGGTTTGTTGTCCATTGAGTGCAGCTCCTGCCTTGCTCCTTGCCAGGTGACTGCATTCCCAGGGCTGCACTGGGTGGTGACACGGCTGCTGCACATTGTGTGGTAGGAAGCTGTGCCATGTGGCCTCTGTGTCTTCATCATCTGTCACGTAGTTCCCTGGGCCAGTGTTATTTGCCAAACTTCACTACTAAAGATAATGGAAACATTGCGTAAGTTACTGTTTACGTTGTAGTGTTGGCCAGTACAACATAGATGCAGCTGCAGCACTTATTTCCCATCAGTTATGTACTTTATCTACACATGTCTATCAGTGACATGGTATTTGCAATGTGGGAGATGGTACCTTCTGTTAAGATGATGTCCTCAAGCTCCTTTACTAAAGCAAAAAAATGTGTAAATTGATTGCAGTGTATTTTCCTATCACTTTTGCTTGGGATGCGATACCAGGATTATTTGTTTCAAAACTAATACAGGTTTTTGTTTATCTGGACAGGAGGGGAAAGCAGACAGATGCTTGTGAATGCCCCATGGCTGCAGCTGCCTCTGTGCATTCATTTATTGCCTGTTGTAACTTGGAAGCATTCTTCAGGTAAGCAAGCTGCTTCAAATACATCACGTGGTTTATAAACTTAACCCACTTCTGTGTTGAGTTTTTACATTGCATCTCAGTGTTTTATGCTCTCAATTACAATGTTATTGATGCATTCAGTTTACTTGAGGCATTATAAACCTGCCTTTGTGTTAGAAACTGACAGTACTTTTGCAAATGAATTTTGTGTGCTGTGCAGTTAGCAAAGAGACAGTCTCCTCACTTCACAGGAGAATGTAATACAAGGCTACCATCGGCTGCAAACTTTCAGATGCCTTCTGCAGAGTTACTGATGTGTATCAACTTCTAAGTATAGACAACCATGACTTTGCAGCTTTTAGATTTTCTGGTGTGAGAGCTGAGCAACAGCATTACCGGCACAGATTTCAGTAGTTGAGTTTGACTTTGCTAAGGAGATGGGGGCTGATTCTCTTGTATTCATAATTAACACATTTACTGCACTTGTGTTAAACTTTACAACTCTAAAGCCTGGTATTAACTGGGTAGTTTTTCGGAACATGAGGATATGACCTAGGAGAATGTAGAGCCTCGTGTCTCCCACCTTTTAAAGGAAAAGTTCAGTGTTAGAAGTGTTATTACTGGTTGAACACAATAGTTTGTAAATGTTTTCAGTTTCTGAATCTATTTTTCATTTAAAATCTGTCATGATTTAATAAGATGTGTGTTGCCATTCCTATAGCTTTCCATTAAACCATCTACAAATAATGTTAAGTGGGTAACTGAATTTGGAGGTTTGGAGTGTAATTCCTATAGCAGACCGAGCTACTCTTTCATACTAAGATACGGGGTAGGTTTTTCATATGAGTATAGGGGAAGATATTCATCCATTATTGGTATCCTTTTCCCAGAGACTGTTTAATTAGCCAAAATAGTTTCCTTACTGTCAGGATTATCACGGTGCAGTAAGCACACTTTTGGAGTAAAAGTGAGTAGTTAACATTTTTTAATCCAGGTTTGTAATTTCTTTGGGTAATATTCAAGAATCCAGAGGTGTATCTGTATTGCATAAGAGTACTGATGTGACTAAAACTTTAGATAATAGAAAACTAGATTTGTGCTTGTCAGATTCCACTGTTGTTCTTCTGTGCCTGCCCTGCAGTGCGATGTGTGCTCTTCATCTCAGTCGTTGTTCCATATCTGATTATAATCCCTCCGCTGGATCTCCCAGACATTACAGTGTTTCTCTGGTTGGTGGCTTCACAGGTCAGTTCATCTGGGACCAGTCCCTGCCTTCTGGTTAAGGAATCTGTGCACATATTCAGGATGACTCAACAGTGGGATGGATGCTTGCATACCAGGAGGGTGCTGGTAACTTGACAGGAACTTCCAGATTTTTTGGAGGTATGTATGTGTGTAAACCTATCATTGAATACTGCCTGGATTATATCACATGGAGCTACAATTTAATTAACTTTAGTTGTGTTTTGAAATATATACCGTTTGTAGTTAAAGTATTGGCATTTTCACAGTAAATATTAGGGCTTCATGCTTAGTGAAAACTTTGATTTATAACTCATGGAACCTTTTTCTGCTTTGCATCTCACAGTAATATATCATAATTTCACTATATTTACAGTACTGCTGCATAGAATACTAAAAAGCCCAGCAGGTATTTGACTCAGAAAGTACTGAGCCTTTGCTAAATTTAGCAAGGCTATGAGCAACTGCAAGGGAGAGTTATGTAATGGTTAATTACTACATCCACACATGATGCTTTGGAATGCCCATTCATCGAGTGACTTAAAGCAGTCAGAAGTCATAAAACATGGTCATATGGATGACAATTTGATAACATGGTCTAGTAGCAAAATGTTTGTTTATTCTGAGATTGCATCTTTGTTACATTAAGTAACAACAGTGTCTTGTTTAGAAACACTGCTGTGTTTTGGAGCCTATTTTTCTTCATTCTCTTTGACTTGCTGCCTTTGTTAATGTCAGGCATGTGTGTCTATTCAGGGAGGAAAATCTGTTAGTAAACAGAACTTAAAGACTGTTTCTTGCTTATCTGTCTCCATGTATTACCTATCCCTATCGTAAATGGAACTTTAAAGAGCCTGAGTGAAGATCTCTAACGACTGTTATATGAACAGCTTTTGATTAGTTGGCTAATTCTCAAAGAATGCACAGGCTTTCTTTTCATGAAAGTGGAGTTACACTTGTGTGTCAGACACCTCATCAGCCACACAGATCAGGTTTCCTAAGTTGGGGAAAATGCCAGGTAAGTTTTTGATAGGATAGTCTGTATTTTGGCAGCTGTCCCTGGATTTTGGTTTGGGTTCTTTTTGATCCCATAACGAAGGTCCTGTGTAAAATTTTCACTCCAGAAAAAGCATGCTGTGAGTGCTGCTGTGGAAGATTGTTCAGCAAAAATAGATAATGTGTTTTCTTTGTTCTTGAAGAGTGCATGGCTGCTTTGAAAAGTTTAGTTTCAGACTGGATGGGAAGAGATAAAGTCCTGCTATGAATGTCTTTAAGAAGGGGTCTTATCCCATGATAAATGAAGTGGCATTTGAAATGGTTAAGACAGTTGAGAATTGACTGAGTAACAGAATTCAGTCTAGAATGGACTGAGTAGATAGCATATGAAAGAGGAGCTTTTCCTTCTGCTGCAGTTTCCTGAACTCTGGCTTATGCAGATATTCCTCAGTGGACTCATGCAGTTTGCTGTATCCCAGGGTCACTGTCCTTCTCTCCTACTGAAAAACAGCATGTGAACCTTACTTACCGTGCCCTGGTTTCGTAAGTGGCCTCTGAAGTTTTTTGTTGTTAGTTGTACAAACATTTTTCCTCTGCCTGGTATGACTGAATAAAACCAAACCAAGACAAAAAACCAGCAAAGCAGTGGGGGAGGTAGGCAAAACTTTTCAATCTGACTCTCCTGAACATGTCTGTTCCAAGTTCATTGCTGTTTAAAAAGGAAGTTTATGAATTCTGTAGGTGATATTTTGTCTGCTGAGTTTAAACTTAAACGTACACAATTTGCTGCTGCTAAACTAAATTGCTGTTAAATACTTTATTTCCCCCCCCCCCAAATGTTTTATATGCTATGAAGTAACAACACATGAAACTACGCTTGGTAAATTAAAAAACCCAAGTTCTTCAGATTCAAATCAAGTTGTAGGAAATAAAAAGTATTGAGAAAGCAGGTCCTTGCTAATGTCTGTGCACTGGATATTGACATAACTCATACCTTTTTTCATAGTAAAATGCTGTATTTAAGTTTTCCTGAGTTGTTATCTCTGTGTTTCCATTGCATTATCTCACTTCCACCCTAATCTTCTCTATTTTACTAGAGACCTATTGCACCTGAGACCTTTGAGGAAACTGCAGCTTGAATACATTGGGTCGTTCTAGTACCTGAAGCTTTCATGATGAAGAGAGCTAGGCAGAAAGGTGTGGTTGAAAACGAAGCTCCTCAAACATCACAGAAAAGCAAAAAGCAGAAAACTTGCTCCTATAGCTCAGTGTTTGGTGAATGTGACTTGCACTCCTCAGTGGACTGGGGAAACCTTCCCCACCACGTTATTCTGCGTGTTTTCCAGTTTCTACCTTTAGTCGATCGAGCCAGAGCATCTTCTGTTTGTCGGACGTGGAATGAAGTTTTTCACATCCCAGATCTCTGGAGGAGATTTGAATTTGAACTTAGCCAGCCAGCTACTTCTTACTTAAAGTCTACACACCCTGATCTCATCCAGCAGATTATTAAGAGGCATGCTGATCATCTGCAGTATGTCAGCTTCAAGGTAAGTGTTGGGTGAGCGGAGGCTTGTCTTGTCATGTTACTGAGCATAATATATGCAGCTTCTCTGTGTCAGCTGGTTCAAGTGTACCTGGGAAGTCTTATGTTTAAAAATGCAGCTACTGCAACAATTTATTTCCATGTATGCACGTGGTTTCCATTTCCTACATTAATCTCTACAAAGTGAAGAACGAGCTAACGTAATGCAATACAGTGCTGAAGGTCGAGTGATATATTTTCAGCATATACAGAATACGTAGTTTCTGTGAGTCGGTGTTAGTGGCAATCCCAGTATTCAGCAGATTGATGCAGATAAATATCTTATACATAGAAGCATTCAAGGAAATAATTTTGTCTTCTGTGTATAATTTGCCTTCTGAATAAGGCTTTACAGTGAAGAATGTCTTGAAATTGTAGAGCTGTGCTTTGAAAAAGTAGGAGTAAGGGAGAAAGATTCTGTGCCTGTATATTCAGGTGATTGACACGTAAGGACATTAAGGAACAGTAAACTTGATTTAGATGAAGGCTATGGTTGTAGTCTCAGAATTGCATAAATGCAGACTTTTTTCATTTGAATACTTGGTACAGTTTGTTCATCTGAGATCATAGTTAGAATCACAGGTGCTTTGTGCACTTTTGTCAGTCATCTCTTCTTAGAGGATATCATAGTTCTAAGCTGTGAAGAAAAAGCAGAAGAAAAGGTTGATATAAAAGCTAGGATGAAAATCAGAAGGTTCCTTTTCTCAGCATTGGTGGCTTCATCTTTAAGAGCCTAGAAGTGGTATTTTAAAGGAGAGGCATACACACAACTGTCTGTCATAACACCAATACTAATTACAGTTGTTCAGGAAGGCGTGAGGTTATTGGAAGAAAAGGATTAAATCTCAGCTTGCTGTTCACGCTAGAAACACCCAGCAGTCAGAGTCAGGTATATTTTCTAATAGTGACTTTCCCAAACTTGTCTTGACATTTCTAATTAATGTTGTGCTTGGTCATTGTGGTAAATGCAGTCTGGTGCAGTACAGCTGAATGTGTGTGGAACTTGCAGTCTTGGGTATTCGTGATACTGTTTTCAAAGTAATAATAAAGAATGACTTCATTGTTTTTAAATTGCTTTTATAGGTTGATAGTAGTACTGAGTCAGCAGAAGCAGCCTGTAACATCCTTTCTCAGCTGGTGAACTGTTCTATCAAGACACTGGGTTTGATTTCTACAGCAAAACCAAGCTTCATGAATGTCTCTAAGGTAATGTTCCACCAGCTGTAACTTATTCACTCTTAAACCACTTCAGCTTTCTGTTGTTTTGTGTCTTTAATTTGTGGCATCCATTAGTATTAGCAAAATAATTAATAATTGATTCTATTCATTAAACTCAGTAGTATTGATGCTTTGTCACAGAGACAGGGAATGATTTAGAAGGCTGTAATTCCTCATTTCTAGGTTAAAAGATAAATTGACCACGTAGTTAAATGTGGTGTTAAAATACTGGGAGATGTTTCTTTTCTTTGGCTGCACAGGTCACAGCAGAGTTACATTCTGGAAAATAAAATAAATGCCACTTCCTTTTTTTCCTGCACATAAATTCTAGATAGTTCAGGCTTATCACTATGAATACTTACCCCTGTTTTGTTACAGTGGAAAGATAAATCAGAGTGGATGAGTAACTACTGAGTGTAAAGTTAATTCTTGTCACTTGCAGTAGAATATTTTTAGCAAGTATTTCCTGTGTGCATGTCCAAATAATGCTTTCTTTGTTACTCAAGCAAGGGGACACCTAAGAAGTGATTATATTTTGTACGTTCTGTGTGTGCAAAACCTAAGTTTTAGATACTGAAATTTTGCCTATCTTTTCATTAAGATTTCTTTTTTCCCCTCCTTCAATTTCTCCCAACAGGCGCATTTTGCTTCAGCACTGACAGTGGTATTTGTGAACTCCAAGTCATTATCCTCAATCAAGATAGATGACACACCACTTGATGATCCTTCCTTGAAGGTTCTCGTTGCTAACAATAGTGATACTCTAAAACTGCTAAAGATGAGCAGCTGTCCTCATGTATCACCTGCTGGTGAGTAGTGAACTTTAAGTCAAGACTTAGTTTGAAACAAGGTATTCAGTGCTCTTCTGAGTCAGCAGAGGCCTTTTATTGACCTAGTCTTGGCTTTAGATAGATGGAAGGGGAAGAAGAATGAGTTGGAGTAATGAAGGTGGAGATGCTCGTTGCTGGGGTTTTTACTTTATGTTCATCTCAGCTGCTTTAGTACCTCTGATGATAGGCTTTGAGGAGGAAAAACCTCCATTAGTGTAAGCTTTTAACACGTTCCAAGCACTTAATGTTCATTGCAAGTTCTGTTAAGGGTAACCAAAAATGTGCTGAGTAACGTGGGCAACCTTGTGAACTTAACCGGCTGGCATTCTGTGGAACACACATGCAAAATCCCTGAGCCATGAATCAACTACTGTTTGGAGGGATAAAAGAGATGAAACAACAACAGTCTGATAACCTGCTGAGAGTTTAACTTACTGAGAAAAAGTGTTAATGCTTCAAAGTTACGTTGAAAAGACGTAGAGTGTGTTAAGACTTCAAAATCCAGCAGCGTTAAGACTACGAGTCTTTCCGTGTCTGGAGTGCCCTCGTGTGTCCAGATCTGGTAGTTACGAACTTGCTCATTTTAGCCTTGGTTGGTGAAGGGCTCATTCCTGTTTTTTTGCCACAAAGTTCAAAAGGCTTTTGGGTCCCTTCTCACCTTTCTCCTGAAACCTTGGTGCTGGGAAAGGGAATCCTGGTCTTGTTTCTTTCCTGTACTTTCCGGAGTCCATAGAAGGTGACTTAATCTGTCTACTTTATATTCCAGCAGATTGAGAGCAGTTATGTGGTTTATCTCTCAATTCAGGGAATTGTCTGTTTTTTAGAACAGCTTTTAAACTAGGTTGCTGGTGGTCATTTAATTAGAATGCTTAGATGAATGCTGAAGGAAGGAGTATTAGGGAAGGGAAATGACAACTTCAGCTGAACCTTACCCAATTTCAGCTGCTGATTCAAAGTTAAGGTAATTCTGCACAGGGAATTGCAAAGATGAGGAAGGATATATGGAGATCACAGATGAATACAACTAGGTAGTCTTGCAGCTTTAACTGGTAAGTGTTTATGGCCAAAACCCTATAAAGATTGTGGATATCTAGAACTTTATGATATTTCATGGGTTTTGGACATAGGCACAAATACTCAGGCCAATAGAATTGGGAATTGCTTGAGCTTTACAGCAAACAATTGTGCTTACATTTACTTTTCATTTTGCAGAGTAATTGTTTTTTGTTCCTCAGGAATTCTCTGTGTGGCTGACCAGTGTCATGGACTTAAGGAGCTGGCTTTGAACTACTACATATTAAGTGATGAACTGCTGCTGGCTTTGTCAAGTGAAAAACATGTTGACCTTGAACACCTTCGCATAGACGTCGTGAGTGAAAATCCTGGACAAGTTGAATTTCACACTATTAAAAAGCAAAGCTGGGATGCTCTTGTTAAACACTCCCCTAAAGTCAACATTGTGATGTATTTCTTCTTGTATGAAGAGGAATTTGATGCTTTCTTCAGAGAGGAAACCCCTGTTACACACCTTTACTTTGGTCGTGCAGTAAGCAAAGCGATGTTAGGTCGCATTGGCATGAATTGCCCAAGGCTAATTGAGTTGGTTGTGTGTGCTAATGGACTCCAGCCTTTGGATGATGAACTTATCCGGATTGCTGAGCGCTGCAAGAACTTGACAGCAATGGGACTTGGTGAATGTGAAGTGACTTGCAGAGGTTTCATTGAATTTGTGAAGATGTGTGGGGGCAGGCTTACCCAGCTCTCTATAATGGAGGAGGTACTGATTCCCGATAACGATTATAGCTTAGATCGACTCCATTTGGAAGTCTCCAAACACCTGGGAAGACTCTGGTTTCCTGATATGATGCCAACATGGTGAATTCTTTACATTTGTGGACAAAATGCTAGAATCAGGGTGTTGCTTTCTATGCAAATAAAGAATTTAAAAATGAAACATGAAAACTTATTTCTAGGTTTGAGGTTTTCTACCTTGAGAACCTCTAGTAGTGTCACAGCAAAACATTCTGGAGTGTTAATGGTGTATGGAAATAGAATCAGAGTACTTAACACTTCTGAAAGTATGTCTGTGGTTTACAGGTGCTTCAAACCTCAGTGAATTGGGCTTCTGTGAGCTTCAGTTTAAATGTTCTGTTCACATGAAAGGTTGGGTTTTTTTTCATGTTTTTGTTTAGTCTTTCTGATGTAGGCAGAAGAGGAACACTTTTTTCCTTTAGTAAACCCATTTATGGGAAGCTGGATACAACTTGGAGTTCAGTATTATTTATCTTGATGTTTTATGCAGCTATTTTTTCTAATCATGTTTATAAATGTAAAAGCTTGTACATTAAAATACCTGCACTAGCCCAGATTACTCAAATATAATCTAGTTTCAACTCATGGCAGTGTATTAAGATGTTGTGGTAAATAAGCTTATGCTTACAAAAAACCTTTCCAGTTTTAAATTGCACTTTAATTTTGTCAGACTAGCTAAACTGTAGAGACTGCATTGCTCACTGTGTTGTTTTACTGTCTTATGCATTGAATGGATGGCAAAGAGACCTTGTTAAAATGAATGAATTTAAAAGTTTGGCTCTAGATTGGTTGTCTGGGTGAATGACAAAGCACTTTGGACACTGCCAGAGCGTAAGGAATAGCCTCTGAATTTGTGGAGTTCAGATCTTTGGTTACAGAGATTGATGTCTGTATGCTGTGCCATGCTTTCATTATTAAGAGATAAGAAGGATCTTATAAATGTGGCTAGTTAGGAGGAAGGATCAAATGGAATGCAGTTGTCTTTGATCACTTTCTGTCTGAAATTAAGGATTTAGAGCATTTAAAAGATAATTTATTTGCCAGTTAGAGGCTACAGTGGCCTGTAGGATCTAGGCTGTAGCTTGCAGAGCTGTGCTGTAAGCCCTGATTTCTAGAGTAAGGGTTGCTGGAGGTGATCCAGGGATTTTTAATGTGGGACTATTTAATACTTACTGCTTTTAGTTGTTTTTTTGAGGAAGATTTAATTTTATTTCTTTATTTTCTTTAAAGCAGAAGGGAATGGTCAGTTGATGTGAATTAAGAGTATGTAATTTTGTGTTGACGTTTTGCACACTGTAAACTGAAATGCATTGTATGTAATTTTTGCTGTAATTATTTTCATGCTCTAACTGTTCTATCTTCCTATTTATAATGAGAAGTCTACATTTGATTTGCTGGTGGTATTTGTCACTGTCATGGTTTCACCCTGGTTAGCAACAAAGCCCCATGTAATCACTCACTCACTACTCTCCATTGGGATGGGGCAGAGAATCAGAAGAGTAAAAATGGGAAAACTCAAGATAAAGACAGTTTAACAGGTAAAGCAAAAGCCTTGCACACAAGCAAAGCAAAGCAGGGTATTCATTCACCACTTCCAATGGACAGGCAGGTGTTCAGGCTCCCCAGGACAGCAGGGTTCCATCATGTGTCACACCGACTTGGGAAGACAAATGCCCAATTGTTCCCTGCTTCCTTCTTCTTCCTTAGCTTTATATGCTGAGTATGATGTCCTATGATATGGGATATCCCTGGGGTCAGTTGTCTTGGCTGTGTCCCTTCCCCAGCCTCCTTGCTGCTGGGGTGAGGAGCAGAGGAGGCCTTTACTCTCTAAGTGCTGTTCAGTGATAAAAACATCCCTGGGTTATCAAATCCACAGTTTCCAGCACAAATCCAAACCATTGTCCCATACAAGCTCCTGTGACGGAAATTAACTCCATCCCAGCCAAACCCAGCACGTTCACATCAGATAAAATACTGGTTTCTTTCAAGCTTTACACTTCTTTGCTGCAAAAAGAACAGCTGAAGGGTTAAGCCACCAGTGTCCTGGACAGACTTGTTCCCAGTTGCAAGCTCAAGGCTTTCAGGTGACATATAATGCCTGTCTGAGTCACTAATGTGTTACTGCCTGTTGTACAGTGGAGAAGCATCTGACTGGTTACTGGCACCTGTTACCCAACTTCTTGCTTCCATAATCAAGGGAATTGAAAGACTTGAAATGCTTCTAGACAGTGTTTGGTTTAGGATGTGTGGTTTGCTTTAGATTGTAAACATAATAAAGTGATCTGATACATGCACTGACATTAGGCTCTTATCCATCTGTTCTACGATGTCCTCCTGTTAGGCAGGGTTCTGTCCTGCTAGAAACCATCTGCTTAAAGCTGGGGAGAGGCAGTAGAAATGTTCAACTTTTGGATTATAGCAATTTACATCATTGTGATTTCATGTTCATGCCTCAAACTTGAGCCTTTTTGATATGCTGGAACTAAAATGGAATGTGGATAAATCTTGGAGGTGGTTGGTGTGTCCTGGAGTCCTTCATGTCTCTCTAGCCAACACAGAGCATTAGTGAAGTATCAAACACGAGTGGCTATTTATAGAAATAGAATTCAGGAGGAAACTTAAAATGCTTCTTTTAATATTGTCCCTTTCTCTGTTCCTCTTACTAACGCACCTTTTCTGTGAAGCCACCAATGTTAGCTTGCTCCAGGCTCCAAGCTTCTGGAAAAATGGGCCTGCATTTATTAATGTGATTTTTGCTGCAATGATTTTTTCCTGTGGGTTCACTCTGCTGGCTGATCTTAACAAGTAAGGCCAATTGATACCTGAGTTTATCACTAAATGCCAACAAAACTGATAAATGTGAAATACAGATTCTTCACGGGTAACACAGGGAGCTAATTCTAGTTGAAAGATAACTTCTGACTTCAGGTTAATGCTGATTTTACCGTTTCAGTGTTAGATTCTTTCATCAAATTTGGTCATTCGGTGCTACAATGAACACATTGTGCTTTGGGGAGGAGTGTCAGAACATTGCCCTGTGTAAAGCAGCATTTGTTCTTCTTTTCCTTCTTAGGTTGATCTTCCTAAGTGATTCTTATTTGGCAAGAACCAGTAGATAGCTGCCTGCTGCCTGTGTGTGCTTCCTCCTGTCCCTGGAGTAGCCTGTATTTGAGAGCTCCACCTTGTCCTAGTTAAGGCAAGTTTTGTCTATTTTCTTGGCTTTTCCCGGGTTTACTGCTCTGCAAAGGCTTCCTAAAACCCATCTGTGAAGCATATAAGGCAACGACACGGTTTGTTAGAGTAACTAAACCCCTCAAAATGAAGTCCAGCCTTTACACCTGAGGAGATTTGTAGGGTCACAGCAGCGAGAAGCTAACAGTAATACGCCTTTTCTGCCACATGAGGGGGTGAGCTACTCGTCATGCTGATTGTTCAGGCTGAGATAGCTTGTACTTACTCATTGCTAATTCCCCGTTTCTCTTCTAAACGCAAATTCTGACAAAAAATCCTTTTTCCTTGTGTGGAGTCCCTTTTGCCACCCAGTAAAGACACCGGTTGTTCTGGTGTGACAACGCCAAACAGCATCTTTTATACCTTGTGGAGGGTTTCAATTTCACTCTATTCCTCAGTTCAGGTGCCCTCAAAATCTAAAGTAATCTTGTTTGCCAAGGTGCAGTAAAGTTTGTCAGTTAGCCCAAGATACAGCATTTACAACAACTGCAGGTACTTAAAACCCGGTACCTAACTGGTACATTGAACGTGTAGTAATGTTAACACCTTGCAATACTATGTAAGGCTTAAAGTATCAAATCAGTTGTAATATATGATGTACATGAGAAGAAAAAACAACTTCTGGATGCTGAGATGAATTTATTTGGAATTTACAGTGTTTCCATTTCACTCTCTTTGCCCTTTCCCCCTTTCAAGATTGCTAGTAGGATCTGAGTGATCGCAGTTCTCAACATGAATGTGAGATGTGATCCCAGGAAATACTCTTTGCATCGGCAACATTTTCCCAAGGATTTGCCCCTTAGAAATCCTACCATTGTATCTGATGGGGTGGATGCAGAGTAGTTTTACACAGAATCCTGGTGAAAACAAGAGGGGAAACATCAAATGACTGATGAAGCATTTGTTCTGCACTAACTCTATTTCAGAAATACACTTTCTGTTGTGTACTTTCCCCTGGGATATCAATAGTGGAAATACCAAAATAGCAAAGATGCTGTGGTCATAAAAAATACGTAGTGGTTGGAGTTGTTGGCTTGGTGGAAGAGGGAAGAGAAGGTGGGAATTCCTGCTTTAGTAAAGAGAAGAGCTCAAAGACATTCTTCAAAACTCAATGATTCACATTCTAACATAGAAGCAAAAAGTTCTGCATGTAAGTGGATAGAATGCAGTGTTTCAAAACATCTACCTTGCTTAACTACTTGGTTAGCTGCAAGGTAATACATCCTACATGACCTCAAGTCAATGAAGTATTAAATGAACAGTAGTTGTTTACCTGATCCTCTGATTTGGACTCCATCATCAATGGCATTTCCGTTGTGGAAGAATTTGATGGGTCCAGAGAGCTGGCCAGAAAAGGGAGCATAGACGTTTGCCCCATCAGAACAGATGACATCCACACCCGAGTGCTTTCCTTTGCCATTGTGTCTGAAAACAAACATGCAATTAGAGAAGTCTCTGGTCAGGCCTCATGTTATATGGATGTAGAGCAGGTAGCACACACGGGCAGCCTGTCCTGGTGCTGCATTACCCCTGTAGCAAAAATGTTTCTTCATGTCTAACCTAAGCCTTCAAAACTTAAGTGACTTGAACAGGGTTCAACTCTACTTCAGTGGAGGAGCAATAAACCCCTACACGTTCCAATTCTACAGTACCTTGGAGCTCCATAGTATCCACAGCCATATCTATCACAGCCTCGGATCTCATTTGTAGGATTCCCGGAGCACAGCGTTGCCCAGTGTCTGTCTTGTTGTGGGAATGGTGGAACAACTTTGAAATACAGAAACACAACACATCAAGGTTAACTTTTAGGTTCTATACATTCCATGTGTGTAGCTGGATGTTTGCTCCACAAAATGTACCATCCTTTAGGAAATAGACTGTACACCTGAGACTGGATTGTAATGTGTCTAAGTGAGGGTTATCTCATACAAAGAACATGCTTTAAAGACAAAAATTCAGAAAGAGTATCACAGTTCCTACCATGTAATAGGAAGGATGGGAAAACACTCAGTCTTGTTTCTTATTCTGTGCCCAGGCTGATGGGACCAGACTCCTCAAATCCTCTTTTCCATTACTATCAATGTAGTATTTGCATTTACAAAGAATCATCCCAAAGTCTGCTATAGATGTCATACTGAG